CGGACGAATGAAATGAAAGCTTACATCTGGTGTCTTGTGTGATAAGTATATGTCACCATGCCTTAAAAGGTGAATTTCATAAAGTGGTGCATGGTCAGATCAGCCATATTATATGGGACAGAGTTTTGGCCAATCAATAATTCACACATCCAAAAGATGGACGCAGTTGAAATAAGAATGTTGAGATGAAATCATGTGCATGTGAGGAGAGATAGGATCAGGAACGAAGTTATTCGAGACAAGACGACAATGGCCACCACACTAATTTGATCTTTCTACGAAGCTTCTTTCTACGATTCTAGTCAAGTCTTGTGATGGATAAGATGATGGCGACAAGACTGAGATGGTTCATACATATGAAGAGAAGATGTGCAAATGCCCCAACAAGGAGGTGTGAGATGATGACTATGATGGATATAAGGAAGGTTGAGGTAACTCGAAGAAGTTTTGGATAGAGTTGATTAAACAAGACATAATCCTAGATAGCACAACATGAAGGCCGAGGATTATATTAAGCTAGAACATTAGTAGGCATTTGAGTGTTGTCTAGTTCCCTTATTATTAATAGGCATAATACATAAATATGACCCTTAGCTAGGCTTTAGCTGATAACTATGCCCTCCAACTTTGAGGGTGTGTTTGGTATGAAGGAAAACATTTTTTGGAAAATATTTTCCAATTTTCTCATGTTTGGTTGGGTTAAATGTTTTCCAAATCAACTCATTTTCCTCAAATTTAAGGAAAATGACTTCCCTTCAAAACTTAAGGAAAACATTTTCCAAAACTCTCTTCTAACTTCAAATTACAATTATTTTTTGTTGAAAAAATCAATTTATTTTGTCCCTACCCTCAAATCAGCCCCCATCCACCCCCTACCAAAAATAATAATTTTAAAGCTTGTTTTTAAATTCAATTATTTTGCCCCACCCCCTCCCAAAAAAATATTAAAAATTATTTTTAAAAGATATTTCTAATTTCAATTTTTTATTTTTTTACACCCCCACCTCCTACCCTCGCCCCCCATCAGCCCCCCACCCCCCTCCACAAAAAA